AATTTTTATTAAGAATTGATTGTCAGTCTGCAAAACCAATTTTAGAAAATGATATCAAAAATATGATTTCTAAACAAATTTTTGCAAGATGGCAAGCCTTGCTTGGAAATTTTGATTTTCAAATTGATTTTATCAAAGAAAAAGATAATTCTTTACCCGATTTCTTATCAAGAGAATTTTTACAGGGAAGATGACTTCTCAAAAGACTCCACAATCTGATCAAAAGAAAAAAACTCTCTCTCCATTCAAATCTATTCAAATTGATCGATCAATAGTTCCAGTTACTCCTACTCAAAATAGATTTTCTCCCTTTTCCCAAGCTCCATTACGTCCATATTATTCGTCTTTGATTCAAAGCCCACATAGTACATCTTCAACAAGGTCTATTTCTATTACTCCTCAGAAAATTGTCCAAAAGTCGCCTCTCGTGCAAAACAGTCCTGTAAGACTTTCTTCTCCTTCAAAATCTTATTCAAGTTCCAGTTCCTACACACTCAATCCTTATAGTCAAACAGCTAAAATCCTTGAAGATTATGAAATTCACCTTCAAAACAAAGGATTTCAAATACTTAATGACTATCTTTTCCAAAAGGGTTCTTTATTCATTACTGATTCCTTTAAAACAAGAGAGTATTATGAAGCAGTTTTAATAGACTCTAAATCTATTAAAGTTACTCATCGTTCGAATCAAGCTAATTCCTCTCAAATAGATTTTAGCAAAGTTCAAATTCTTCATGTTCTCTCTAATCAAGACTAAGGATCTCACTCTTATGATAGCAAACCTCTATCAAATTTTAGTCAAAACCCTTCTTACAATTATTATGACTATCAAGATACCTGGTATAATTTCTTATACCTAAAAAGTTACACACACTCTTGGTTTTTGTATTTTGACAAAAAATTTGATTGTACTTATCCAAGATGGTTTGTCAAATGGTTCAAGTTTATGGGAAGTATTCCACAAACCCTTCCTCCAAGGGTGATGGAAGGATTCAAGAAATTTCATGAGATCTTTGTTCAAGAAATTACCGAATTTGATTATCTTCTTCAATTTACGGTAATATTCAAAGTACCATGGATTTTATCATGGACCTTCAAAGTCATTGATGCAAGCGGTTCTTCTCCTTCATTACTACAAAGGATTTCCAGAGTAAAGTGGTGGGAAAAACTTCCAATGGATCAAATGCAGAAAATGACTGTTCAAGGAGTTTCAGATTATTATTCAATTACTTTTGGAGTTTCGACTTCAATTGTATCTACTTTAAATTAGAAGAAAGAAGACGAAGAAATTGATCAAATATTAGCCACTGATTCAAAAGAAGAACTCAAGTGACTTCTTCAAGAGCTTAGACGCGGGAGCTCTCCTTCAAACGGTCCTCCCTCTAGTTCTATGTCTCAAGCTTATCAACCTTCTCAAAGCTTAGATCATTATAGTCAAGATCCCTATGAAGATTATTTTTAATCTTTAAGGGCRGTGTTTGTGTGTGTTTTGGGTATTGCTTTTGCAAGCAATTTCTTTGTATCTTATCAAAACATATCTTATAAAAAAAAAACGTGAAATACACTCTTTGGTATTTCCGATAACATCTTGTTCAAAATTATTTTCTTATCAAATATGTGCAGATTTATTTCTTATCAAGATGATAATACTGTCAGAACGTATTTTCAAAAGGAGATAATGATTCTTCATTATTATTCAAAAGATGCTGCTTTTCAATTATTAACAATATTGGACGATATCAACTTTATCAAAAGAAGAAAGAAGACAACTGACTTTGCTAAAGAAAAAAAGAAGACAACCGACTTTATAGAATGAAGATTCTACATGTCGGGGTGTGCTCCACTCCTTTTCAACAACTTTAATAATTGTTCCAGAACGGTGCAAGGTGCCAGTTTCAAGTTCAATTATTTTGAAGATAACTGGAAGATGCCGGTCATCCAATTCAAGATTTCAACTATAAAAGAAGATCAAAGTCATTCATTCACATCGTCGAGAGTTTTTCAGAAAATCTTATTCTTAGAATTTCTTAGTTAGTATGTTATGTCAAAGTAACCTTCTCTCAAATTCTCAACTTCTCAATGTTYCAAATCTTTAGATTTCAATCTTATCATTGCTCCTGATGTATGCTCAAATTGTCTCGGCAACAATTGTATTCAAGATTGCTTAATCAATAAAGGTATCTTTTGATCATTATGCTTGCTATTTCAATACTATATCACTAATTTGTCTTTATGTTCAATTATGATGAATGGTCCTGTCCGAAATGGTATGATTTATGTTCATAGGGAAATAATGAGTTATACTATTTATGTTAATGAATGCGTACTAGAAATGAATTTGTTTTATAAAAAAACAAAATTTTATAATAATATTTGGATATTAGTGTTGCTTTGCCTTGGGCGTTGGAGTAATGTAAGTCACGCAGAAAGGAGCGTAAGACGTGCAGCCGGACCAGTCCATAAGAAAGCTGATAGCCCTTATATATATATATATAAATTTATAAAATAAATATAAAAACCAAAAAGTAAATATTTGTATTATTTATTTATAATTTATCAAATAAAAATAAATGGATTAAAGAGATGGTGGGTGGGGACCACCTTTTTGGTGTCCCAAAACATACACGGAAAATTTAACGTTGAAATGAAGCCACTGACAAATCTACACTGATTTTTCCGTTCGATTGGAGCCGTGAAAATGGCAAATTTACAATTTTGCTGTTCGATTGGAGATGCTTTAAGTACTACAAACAAAACACAACCAAATCCGAATCTCTTAAATACATTCCGTCAAGCCAAACGCCCCCTCACAGTACCAGGGGTCTGAAGAGGAAAAAAAATGAACATCTAGGGACCATAATTACAATTTACAAAGATCTAGGGGTTAGTGGTCAACTCACCTGGAAAGTCAAACCACAAGGGGCCAAGCCAAAAGGGTTTCTTTGTTCTGTCTTCACTTTGGTTTCGGTGATGGAAGATTTGCAGAGGCTACTGCTACATGACCGTGGTCTATCAGTTCTAACACTTCCAGAGAAAGGTCGTTGCCTTATCACCACTCGAGACTTCTCTTACGGTATCTTTAAACCCTAATCCCCTTAATCCTTGTGGAATATGTTGGTAGCTCTAGTTATATACATGATAATTTGCATTATTAGAATTCAGAACTTATGCAAGTTTAGGCCTGCATTTAGGTCTGTACGTTTACAATATGGTGTAGATTATTATCCTCATAGATGGATGTTGATCAATCTATTTCTAATTATATATGTTATAGGAGAAACGATATTAAGTGAAGAACCTTATGTTTCTGTACCAAACAAAACTCCAGTGCAATCGAGATGTGATTGGTGTTTTACATCTAGTAATGTGAAACGGTGTTCATCTTGTCAAGTTGTATGGTACTGTGGGAGCAGATGCCAGGTAATTTTTGCTTCATTTTGTTGTGTTACCGGTTTATTTAGGGTGTTGCTATTTGTATGTGAAGGAAGAACTATTAGGGAGTGGTTCAAATAGCAACTAGGGGGTTCATTTGGGGTCACCCTTTATTTAGTTCTCTAAATAAAGGGAGGTCCAAATAAGAAAGACAAAAGGGTTGGAAACATACGAAAAAATGATTTATATGTGAATCATTGGTAAAAAGAAAAGTGTGTTCACATATGCATATTTATATGTGAATAATTGGTAAAAGGTAGGTAAATGAACGTGGGTTCACATATGCATCTTCAAATGGATTTTTTTTTTATGGTTTACCAATGATTCAAATATAAATCATTTATGCTTGCATTCTCAACCTTTTTGCCTTTCTTATTTGAACCTTCATCTAGTTTGTATTTCTAAACATCTGAATAAGTTACCGGAAAATTGCAAAGAAGATTCGCTATGCACATGTTACAGTATCAAGAATAGCTAAATAGCACAACATCCTTAAACTAATGTTGTCTTCATTCGTGATCATTTTAGAAATCCGATTGGAAGCTTCACCGTCTTGAATGCCAGCTACTTGCTCGGCTGGAGAAAAGTAGAATAAGATCTCTTACGCCTTCCATACGTTTGATGGTTAAACTTTATCTGAGGAGGAAGTTGCAGGATGAAAAGGTGAAACTCTCTCTTTGCATATTTATTCTTTTAGATGGTTCCTGATTTATTTCGACAATAAAATATTTGTTATTTGGAAACATGATTGTTAGTTTAATCGATATTACATCGTTGCTCTTTCTTTTTCTTCATATGTTTCTTCTAATTTAGGTTTCATATCGTTGTGGGGTTGCTTGAATTTATGATCGGGTCATGCCTCTACATCTTTGACTTCTTTAATTGTTTTGATTATTATATTTAACATTAGCATTACTGTCAGGTTATCCCTACTACTGTGATAGACAACTACAATCTGGTGAAGGCTTTAATATCTCGTATCCTTGCATATTTGTTGTACTGTTATGTTTTTCCATTCATTCTTTCTCTCCAAAATATGTTCATATTGAAACAACCATATTTGATATATACTAATTTTTTGGACCATGTTTATGCAGGTTTGCTACTATATATTGCACTATCTTTTTTCATGTACTTGATTAATTTCTTCATCTCTTAGTGTATCTGTTTGCACTTGGAGCAAAAATAATAAAATAATATATTCTTAAAAGCAAGAAATTAACTAATTAATTTGTGGAATTAACATAAACTTATAAATTGATAAATGTAACTTCACCTAAGTAACTATTATTTCACTTTTATAAAAAACGACATAACTAGTAGATAGTTAAGTTCTGTAGGTTGTAGCAATAACCAAACAGATTATTTCTAATATATTGTTTGGTATTTGTTTTACTTTTTTTCTCATTTATTTTTTAACAGCGTTGCATATATTATTTGTTTAATATGATCATTTATGAATTACAGTTTTTTTGAAATTATATAGTTTGGTTGTACTATGAATAAAATTAATATAATTTGGTACTTATACCTATCCAACTATATTTTGGATTTGGATAATAATGTACTCAAATGCTTAAATTGATAAATTTGTACTGTTTCATATGATCTACTTGCAAAATTTGTGATTACAAGAAAGGAAAACAGCTTTCGAAGGTGGGCTCTCCCAAGGTTCTCACCAAGGAAATAACAAAACAGAATCCTTCACAGAGGCTAGAAAGCAAAAACTAACCGAAACCACAAAATGGTCCCCCACATGCTAAGAGGAAAGAAAATAGGATACTAAAAGATGTATTTTATTTATACCCCTAAAACGACAAAGACCTTACTGCCCCTCCCCTACTTGTTCTTTTTGTTGCGAATTGGAAACTAATCCGAGAAATATTGGAATATAACAAAAAGTCAGGAGTTACTATGGGTTGTGCCTTTGGATGCTTGGGCATTCAAATTAGTCCTTCGAATAAACCGGAAGGAAAGGATTGACCAAAAAGGAAGTTTAGCACTCTATGGTGCTCTTGAATTTGATTTTGAAGTTGCCCGAAACTCAAAAGGAATTGACGGGGGCCTGCACAAGCGGTGGAGCATGTGGTTTAATTCGATACAACGCGCAAAACCTTACCAGCTCTTGACATATGAACAAGATCGTGCATATGTGAAACGAAAGGCGGTTGATCAATACCTCGCCCCGAAAGATTCATCTTGTCCTCAAGGTGAAAACTGTGAAACTGATTTTGAATCATGTCTCAATCTTCCCATGAAGCTTCAAATACGTCTAAACCTCGCCATTTAACTAAGACCTCTAGTCGGGTATCATTCCCATCTCTAGCATGTCGAACATCCAAAACATCCTCAGATAACACCCATAACTCCATGTTGTTGGTAAGCTGAGTTGGTAGTACTGGAGAAGAAATGCAGTTGCTGATGGCATGTCGCAACTGCGAAACATGAAAACCGGAATGAATGTTGGACGTGTGTGGAAGCTCCAGTTTATGCGCTACAACACCAATTCGTTTGACTATTTGAAATGGCCTATAGAATCTAGCAGACTTGGTAGACTTAGTCTGACTGGTTGTAGCGGGTAACCAAGGACTTCTGTCTGTAAGACTGTAGCTTCAGGAAAACTTAGTCACCAATTGTGAATTGCTCTTATTTCCTGCCCAAATCTGCCCGTTGTTTCATGTGGTGCTGTGCACGTGGCAAATGTAGTTTCACTGTAACCAAGATCTCATCCCTTTTCAACAACCCTTTGTTAATAGAATCCACAGTAGTGATGGCCTTGTATCATAAAGGATCTGGTGGCTCAACCATACCATACCCTAAACGGTGTGCATTTAAGGCTTGTATGATACATAGTGCTGTTATGCTGTAGGAGCACTCTACTCAATTGAGCCACTTGCTCCATTGTCTCGGCCTATTCGATGCCATGCATCTAAGCATCGATTAACGACATCCGTTTGGCCATCCGTTTGTGGGTGATAGGCTGTGCTGTACTTAAATGTCGTCCCTGCGATCGAAAAAGTTCATTCCAGAAGGTGCTCAAGAAGATCTTGTCTTTGACAGTGATAATTGAAGTTGGAAGGCCATGTAGTCGAACAATCTCTTTCACAAACACTTCAGCGACAAATTGGGCCTTAAATGGGTGCTTAAGATTGATAAAATGAACATATTTGCTTAGACGGTCGGCCACCACGAGGATGGTGTCCACTCCATGTGATTTGGGCAGACCCTCTACAAAATCCATGGTAATGGCCTCCCAGGTAATGGAACAGGATGAAGTAATCCTGCTTTGTTAAGTTCTTTATACGCCGGCAAATATTAGAACTTCGCAACGTGTGACGTATATTCTTTCATATGCCTATCGAAAGACTCCCAAGGCAACAATTTGAGTCTTCTCGGCATGACCCCACAGGAAAAGAATTAAAGAGGACGTGCGAGGAAGAACCAATTTGTCTTTGTAAAGTAACAACCCTTGCTGACTAGAAAAACTCGGGTGTGACCGAGTTTGTTCGAGTATTTCTTTTCTAAACTTCTTCAAATACAAGTCATCATCTATTTCCTTCTTCAGAATGTCCCATTGTTGCCATTGTGGCCCGCTCGTGACTGCACATTCTATGTTAGCTTCCCTAAGTGACAAAGCGTATGCGTCTCGGTTGCTACTGCCCACCTTGTAGACGATGTTGAAATTGTATCCAAGTGGCTTGCTAACCCATTTCGGTAAACGGGCTCGATGATCCTCTGTTCCAACAGAAACTTGAGAGATTGCTGATATGTTTGAACAACAAATTTCTGCCCAATAAATAAGGTCTCCATTTATGCACTGCTAGTACAATCGCCATAAGCTCTTTCTCGTATAAAGATTTTTGCCTTGCTTGTAGTCCTAGAACTGGACTAAAATACGTAATAGGCCTATCCTGTTGCATGAGGACAACACCTGAACCGAATCCATATGCATAGTTTCCATTTTAAATTCCTTTGAAAAATTTGGTAATATTAGTACATGGGCAGTAGTGGACAAAGCTGTTTTCAGATCAGAAAAAGCCTTGTTGGCCAAATCACTCCCTATTAAATTGCTTCTTTTGCAACAAGTCTATGATAACTTTCGATAGTACCCTAAAAGCCCGAAAAAGCCCGAAATTTAGTTACTGTTCGGGGTGTCGGCCAATTGAGCATGGTTTGTTTACTTTTGAGGGGTCCATCTCATCCTTGGAGGCATACACTATGTGGCCCAAGTAAATCAACCGCCGTTGATCAAATTGGCTATTTTTATGGTTGGTAAAAAGTCGGTGTCGCTCAAGTACTTGAAATACTTCTCCAACTGGTTAACATGCTCGACTAAGTCCTTGATATAGACTAGTATATCATCAAAAAGACCAAAACGAATTTTCGAAGGTTTGAATACCTTGTTCATGAGGTCTTGAAAATTAGCCGGAGCATCGGCCAAACCAAAAGGCATGAGAAGAAACTCGTAATAGCCCTCGTGTGCGAAATGCAGTTTTATCGATATCCTCGACCTTCATTCTGATTTGGTGATAACCGGACTTGAGGTTCAATTTTGAGAAAACACAGACTCCGAACAACTCGTCTAATAATTTATCTATCAACGGAGTTGGGAACTTGTCTTGTACAAGGTATTTGTTAAGAGCCATGTAGTCAACACAGAAAAGCCAACTCTCGCCTTTTTTTTTGCACAGGCAAAACTGGGCTTAAGAATGTGTTGTGGCTTTGTCGAATTACTCCTACTTCTAACATTTCTCAGACCAGTTTCTTGATTTCTTCTTTTTGATAATGGGTAACAGTCTGGTCGAACATCGAACATTGACAAACCAGTAATTTCTTCTTGATTTCTTCTAACATTTCTCAGACCCGTCCTTTAGCACAATCTGATGTTCACGGCCTCTTTCAGGTGGGAACCCTTGTGGTGCGTTAAAAACCCTGTGGTACAACTCCAACACACCTTCCAACTCCAATGGAACCTTATTTTGTGGTGAATCAGTTGTGGTCATTACCCCCAATTCCACCAAATTCCCTTGTTTTTCCTGCTTGCACATCCTCTTCATGGCCTTAATCGATACCAAGGTTCGTCCCAATGATGGATCCCCGTTAAAGGTGAAGGTATCTTTTCCCACCTTTAATCTCATTATATGTGTTTTTAGGTTCGTGTATGTGGATCCTAGCATTTCCAACCATTGGACACCTAAAATTACATCGGAATTTCCCAAGTCAATGGGTAAAGTTCCATGATTTCCACCCCGTTGAGACAAAGGTTCAACTTTCTACAGACCCCTTTGCTAGTGATAACGTCCCCTGTTCTCAACGTAATCCCATAGCTTTCAGTAGCCTCTAGTGGTATAACCATTTTTTTCATTAAGGTGGTTGAGATGAAATTATGGGTTGCACCGCTATCAATCTACACTGCAATCTGTTGCTCCTTGATCAACCCAAGTAATTTCATCGTTTTGGGATTAGTGAAACCAATTACTGAATTTAAAGGTACCTCGACTCTATGTGGCATCTCCCAAAGCTCTTTTTTCACCGACTCTTCTTCTAACTCAATCGTCCGGCCTCACTTTCTTCTTCTTGAACAACCAACACATTGACCTCCTTTCTTTTGCATTTGTGACTGGGTGAGTACTTATCATCACATCGATAACATAACCCCTGTAACCTCCGTTTTTGTAGCTCCACATCTGACAACCTCTGGTATTATGAATTTCTCTGTTTGTACGCCTTACATTTTTGTCGGTACCATTCCCAAACATTTTGGCTCCCCTGTTGCAACGATTGGTTTTCTCGGCCCCAAGCCAGAGCCTTTTGTTGTGGTTCTACACTCAATTTTTTCTTCAATCTTACATGCTAAGTATTTAACACGGTCGATTGCGGAAATGAGGGTAGGAACCTTGATTTGCAATTGCGGTGAGATACCGGTAAAAAATAGGTTCATAAATTAATATATATATATATATATATATATATATAT